TCCGTAAAGCAACGAACCCTCTTTAGTCAGGCTAGCTGTAAGGTGTGACGCCGGGTAGGAACCATCAGCCGAAGCAGCCCTCGGCACGTGCTATCGTAACACCTCAGGGAACTCCGTGCTGCGTCGACCGCCTTCGTCCTGGGAGAGTGTATTTGTGTGTGCTCTTGGTGGGGGGTGGGGGGTGGGGGGTAGGTGTGCGTGTTCCTGGCTTTGGTGTGTGAATCTCGGCGAGTGTGTTCTAGAGTTGGTTGATGATATTCGAATAAATGTGTCCTGGGCTTGATGTATGTATCCTAAGAATTTTGTTGTGGATATGGATTTGGTATGCATCCTTTTCCTGATTAGGGTAAAGGGATGTTCTTATGAGTGTTCCTGGATTTGGATTATATGACCAGTGGAGTGTGGAGTGCGTGATCCAGGATGGGAATATGTCTTTGGGATGTGTTCCTAGATTGGGAATATGTTCCCTTGTCAAGCAGTGTGTATCATGAACGTGTAGTGTAGTCAGGGTGATCGGGAGCAAGTGAAAGGAAAGGTATATCATATATTTGAAGTGTCTGGTGTGGGTAGGGAGTGTGTAAGCGTACTGGGTGCGGTCCTAAGCACTCTCCCAGCTCGTGGTAGACCGCGGGAATTTCTGCAGCTTGTAATGGTGGTTAATGACCCATTGGCACTGGCTTTGCTCAAACTCTAATGGTGTTTTAACTCGTCAGAAGTAGACGGGCGATGGTTCCTGCCCTGTTAGTGTAAGCGATTATGGCCCTTGTCCCCAGTAAATTTAAGGGTCTTGGTTATCATTTCTGTACTTCATAATCATCGTGTTCACCCTTGTGAACCTTAGTGTATTCTTTAAAGTGTTTATGTTCATAATCATATATAATTATAGACATTGCATTCATCACATTTACCATGTATCACAATTACTCTTCTGTGATGACCCTGGTTCATCACTGTTAATGTTTATTGAACATGTTGTTCAAGGTAAGTGAACAAATATATGTGTATTATTCACCCACGTACTCTCCGCTCTTCCCTTTCTTGCTCTCGCCATTCGCCCTTCGTCTGGCTCACCTTGTTATCACTCTCCTTTCCACGCGCCATTGATAAACTTCCCATGACTTCATCATTGCAAGTTCCCGTGACGTCACTATTGCTTTAGCTTGACGTCACGGGTCGACCTCGTCTCCGCCGGGATTGTGATCCTCTCAGCATCTCTCGCGGGATGCTTCTGGGAGGCTGCTGGAAGACGGCGCAGTTCTTCTTTGTTCTGTTATAATGCTGATTTATCATGCTTGTTTTGTATCGTTGTTCACCCCCTTTCCTATTTATAAGGACTTTTGAGAATAGATGCTTCTCATTTTTTTCTCCCCACCTTGGGGGGGGAAATCCCCTTATGTGAGAGATCCATTTCTCTTACGTTGGGATGGATATTTCCCCATCCTCGCCCCATCCTTCTCCCCCTTCTTCCATCCTTACCTCTAACTTTCCTTCCTCCGTTCTTTCTCCTTCCCTCCCTCCCTCCCTCCCTCCCTCCCTCCCTCCCTCCCTCCCTCCTCCCTCCCTCCCTCCCTCCCTCCCTCCCTCCCTCCCTCCCTCCCTTCTTCCCTCCGTCATTCCTCCCTCCTCCTTGAAGATGGCTGGAAAGATGGACAATTGCTCTGTTCGGGCCAGCGTTTTAGGAGCGAGACCAAAGGAGGCGACCGGCACTTCAGGACGTGTAATACCCCGCCACACAATCGTCCCCTTACCTTGTTTAATTTCCTGAAGGGTGTGGAGAGGGGAGCAGGGTGATTTAGACCTCGGCGTATTTTTTTTTTTTTTTGGTTTGGTTTAATATACGAATAATTACCTTTATATATTTACCAATGTTTTTTTTTTTGGTTGTTTATCTGTCATGTATGAGATTGGAGGTTGTTGTGAGATGCTTACAGGTACAGTTGTTCCTGGATGATGGTGTGGCTGGAACGGAGAGAAGCTGACGTTTATATATTTAAGATCTGTTTAATATGACCTTTATTAACTTTGCCGTCTTTAGCTATGTTTAAAAAACAACATCAAAGGATATCCATCTTCACCATCCTACGTTTCCCCTCAAATGCCTGGATGATGGTGGCTGGAACGGAGAGAAGCTGACGTTTATATATTTAAGATCTGTTTAATATGACCTTTATTAACTTTGCCGTCTTTAGCTATGTTTAAAAAACAACATCAAAGGATATCCATCTTCACCATCCTACGTTTCCCCTCAAATCTTTTTGATCTCGAGGAATGTAAAATGTAAATGGGATTCATTCTTCCTCGAAAATAACCTCTCGCTCATGGTGTGGTTGGTCAGTGGTGTCCCAGTTCTACCAGACGGAGGTGAACAACGAGCACGTCATCAGGGGTAACTCGGCCATCATTAAGTGCGTGATTCCGTCCTTCGTGGCCGACTTTGTCTCGGTGGCGTCCTGGGTCACGGACGACGGGCAGACCTTCGTGCCGCAACACAAGGGCTATGGTAATTTTTTTTTTCTCTCCTTTATCGACAGTCCATTTTTTTGGCGACTGTGTGGGTTGATCGGCGGTTGGATTGATATTCTTTTTCCTGTTCCAGAGATTTATCTTTCTTCTGCTTATCTTTGTGTTTAGGTCGCAGTCTTACTTAATTATGTCTTACTTCCCTTCTTCCGCAATGAAGGAATTGGATGCCAAAGGTCGATCGATTTTTGTGATCATTAAACTTTTCCTCTCGACACCCCTCCCCCCCTAGTGGTGAGCCAACAGTACGAGACCGACGTAAACAAGGAGCACGTGATCCGAGGGAACGCCGCCATCCTCAAGTGCGTGATCCCCTCCTTCGTCGCGGACTTCGTCAGTGTCACTTCTTGGGTCACAGACGCAGGCGAGACCTTCTTTCCTTCGCAGCAATACGGTAATGATGCGAGAGCGGCGTCGGGCTTAGGTCGCTAACCGATTCCAAAAGGGATTCTGACGTTTCTCTCTTCTCTTCCAGATTTCAGGGTTACGACAGATTTATCTACCCTTGCGATAACCATGGATTTGGTTTTCTGATTTCAGGTCCAGGTGTGTCGGATACACTCCCCTTAATCCAAGCTGTTAGCTGATTACTCTCTAAATCAGCCTTGATTTCTAAACCACTTTTAACGAATGCTCTCCAATAGAATTCCATTTTTTTCATCTAAAGGGAAATCCCTTTTCGTGAAACGTAAAAGGAAATAAACCGAAACTGAATGGAAGGGAAATATAGAGAAGTGCCGTGCATGAAGTGAAACAGATAACGGGAGTGATAAAAGACAGGGCGCGTGCAAAGGGCTTTGTGAACCGACCGTTTCCCAGATTAAACTTGCTGCTGCTTTTTGTCTTCTCCATTTTTAAGTTGTTTTTTGTACATATCTCTCTCGATGTGTATATAAAACGTTTATCGATATGGAAATGCAAAAATGACAACAGAATAACAATTACTTTTTTTCTGGAATAATGTGTGTGTGTGTGTGTGTGTGTGTGTGTGTGTGTGTGTGTGTGTGTGTGTGTGTGTGTGTGTGTGTGTGTGTGTGTGTGTGTGTGTGTGTCTGTCTTTTGTGTGTGTGTGTGACAGATAGACAGACAGAGACAGACAAAAAACAAAGACAGACAGAGAGAGAGTGAAAAAAAACAGTAGAACGACGGGGAGGAGCCATGCCGCGGAACATAATTTAAGGCAATCATAGGGTTAACTTTCATGACCAACACTGGATCCCTTATTTATGCAACTTGACATTAATGAAACGTTTCTTTCTGTAACGAAGGGTCAGTGGAATTGATACTCAAGGAGAAGGATTACGTTTTTTTCAAGTAGAAAGATTACGTGTTTTTTTTTCTTTCTCTTTTGTGGCCATGTAATGCGTGCGCACTCATGGAGGCCATCGGGACGTAGTTCACATGCCTGCAGCGCCCGAGGCCAGCCCTCCATAATTGAAATGCCTTTCGAGACCGCCTCCCCTCCAAACACATTCGCTTTCTTTTACTGTGAGCGAGAATTTCACCAATTTCTTCTTCATTTCTAGACTTGATCTCTTTCGCTACCGCCTTCTCTATTTTTTTTCGCCATATTTCTTCGTTTGTCCCTGACGCAATCTCTCTCTCTCTCTCTCTCTCTCTCTCTCTCTCTCTCTCTCTCTCTCTCTCTCTCTCTCTCTCTCTCTCTCTCTCTCTCTCTCTCTCTCTCTCTCTCGCTCGCTCGCTCAACTCCTCCTTCTCCCTTTCCCTCTCCCTCTCCCACCCCTACCCTCTCCTTCTCCCTCTCCCTCTCCTCTCCCTCTCCCTCTCCCAACCCCTCTCCTTCTCCCTCTCTGCCCCTTCCTTTTTATCTCCCTCCCCGCTCTCCTTCCACCTCCCTACCCCACTGCGTCTCCCCTCCCCTCCTCCTCTCCTACTGCCCTACTTCACCCCCCCCCCCCCTCTCGCGGGAAGAGAAAAATTCCGAGAAGCTTCCAAGTGGTGAGATGAAGACATTTCTCGGGTGCGACTGTGTCCACAGGGCCGCCCGTTTCCACACTCGGAAGGCTCGAGGAAAAGGGTGCGTGGGGGAGGCGGTAGGGTGGGGGAGGAGGGGGTTTAGGGTGAAGGGTGTGAGAAGGATAGGAGTGCGGGTGTTAGGATGGGTGTTAGGGTGTATGGGATGAGGGGAGAGTGATAGAGGGAGAGGGTAAGAGGAGAGTAGATAGGGTGGAAGGGAGATGGTAAGGGGGAAGGGGGAAGAAAGATAGATCGCGTGAATCCCTTGATAAAACTTGTTGATTTGCAGCGTTGATTTTTTTTTTTTGCGGCGGGGGGGGGGGGGGCACTGTGTCTTTGGAATTGACGCTTTACAACTGTTCGCACGAGGAGGTAACGATTATCATTTTGAATGGCTGATTCGTTACCTGGAATCGGCCAGCCAAGGACCAGAGGGGGGGAGGGGGGTAAGTTCAAGTTGTTATTTATGAATATTCAACAGTAATCGACCTCCTTCGACCTCTCGCCTCCTTCGGGCTGTACGGTGTGATAGGCGAGAGTCTGTGTGACATGGCGGCGCCCTCGGGGAAATGTCGTGTCATCCCCCCTAACCTCGAGGGGCGGCTCCTGGGAATGTGGGTTGGGGTCTCGAGGGGGGAAGGGGAGAGATGGGGTAAAGAGGGGAGGAAATGTAGCAGAAGAGAGGGAAGCGAAAGAGAGGGAGGGGGTAATATGGAGATGTTAATGGGGTTTAAGATGAAAGGAAGTAGTAGAAGAGGAAGAAGGGCAAAGAGAGGATAATGGACAGATGGAGAAGGGATAATGAGGACAGGAGTATAGAAGACAGGAAGAGGAGGGAGCAGGAGAGGGTGATATGAAGAGATGAGAAGAGGGAAAGGGCGAAGGGGAGGGAGAGAGAAGAACAAATGGGAAAGGAGAGGGAGATGAAAGGGAGGTAGAGCGAGAAAAGGATGAATAGAAAAAAAAAGGAAAAAAGGTGGAGAGGATGAAGAATATGCAGAGATAGCGGGAAAAAGACCACAATAAAAAGAGTCAAAGAAGAAAAAGGGAATAAAGAGGAGAATCGGATAAAGTGTGCAGGAGAATAAAGACAGATACTTATTTTCATATTTTCATCGCTATAATTTTCATGATTCTGTATTTTATTCTCTCTTATCACAACGGCATGGAAACGTCTCCTTTGACCATCAACCTTTTAACACCAACAAGATAGGCTTTCGAATGGTTATTTTCAGAACGAGAGAAATACCGCTGAACGCATCGCATCTAATGCCATTTTTTCTCTCCATTGAGCGCCACAATCTTGTAATAACAGCAATGATAACCATTAAATACCCCCCTCCCCCCTCCCATGTAGTGGTCCACCAGCCATACGACTCGGATGTGAACAAGGAATATGTGATTCGCGGCAACTCGGCCATCCTCAAGTGTTCGATTCCGTCGTTCGTCGCCGACTTCGTCTCCGTCACCGCTTGGATCACGGACAAGGGCGAGACTTTTTTCCCTTCTGAGAATTACGGTAAAATTATCGAAGGAGATGAGAAGAGGGAAAGGGCGAAGGGGAGGGAGAGAGAAGAACAAATGGGAAAGGAGAGGGAGATGAAAGGGAGGTAGAGCGAGAAAAGGATGAATAGAAAAAAAAAAGAAAAAAAGGTGGAGAGGATGAAGAATATGCAGAGATAGCGGGAAAAAGACCACAATAAAAAGAGTCAAAGAAGAAAAAGGGAATAAAGAGGAGAATCGGATAAAGTGTGCAGGAGAATAAAGACAGATACTTATTTTCATATTTTCATCGCTATAATTTTCATGATTCTGTATTTTATTCTCTCTTATCACAACGGCATGGAAACGTCTCCTTTGACCATCAACCTTTTAACACCAACAAGATAGGCTTTCGAATGGTTATTTTCAGAACGAGGGAAATACCGCTGAACGCATCGCATCTAATGCCATTTTTCTCTCCATTGAGCGCCACAATCTTGTAATAACAGCAATGATAACCATTAAATACCCCCCTCCCCCCTCCCATGTAGTGGTCCACCAGCCATACGACTCGGATGTGAACAAGGAATATGTGATTCGCGGCAACTCGGCCATCCTCAAGTGTTCGATTCCGTCGTTCGTCGCCGACTTCGTCTCCGTCACCGCTTGGGTCACGGACAAGGGCGAGACTTTTTTCCCTTCTGAGAATTACGGTAAAATTATCGAAGGAGATGAGAAGAGGGAAAGGGCGAAGGGGAGGGAGAGAGAAGAACAAATGGGAAAGGAGAGGGAGATGAAAGGGAGGTAGAGCGAGAAAAGGATGAATAGAAAAAAAAAGGAAAAAAGGTGGAGAGGATGAAGAATATGCAGAGATAGCGGGAAAAAGACCACAATAAAAAGAGTCAAAGAAGAAAAAGGGAATAAAGAGGAGAATCGGATAAAGTGTGCAGGAGAATAAAGACAGATACTTATTTTCATATTTTCATCGCTATAATTTTCATGATTCTGTATTTTATTCTCTCTTATCACAACGGCATGGAAACGTCTCCTTTGACCATCAACCTTTTAACACCAACAAGATAGGCTTTCGAATGGTTATTTTCAGAACGAGGGAAATACCGCTGAACGCATCGCATCTAATGCCATTTTTCTCTCCATTGAGCGCCACAATCTTGTAATAACAGCAATGATAACCATTAAATACCCCCCTCCCGCCCTCCTTTCGCCCTTGCTCAGTTCGCGGCTCAAGACGATGAGGCAAACGTGCTCATATAATTGGCTTTTTCCTTGTATGAGAAGAGAGTGGGGGGGGGGGGGGGAGGCAGTGCATTTTCATTGCAAAAGGACATCCCTTCACTCTTCGCGGACGGAAGGCGAAAAAGAGAAAATGGATTGATGTGAGTCTGACACCCAAACATCCGGGGTCTCCGACATTGTTCGTCGGTTAGAAGGATTTTTGTTTGATTGAACAACATATTTCAGATCGGATATCTAGACACCTGCTAGAAACTTAAGCAAATT